AGTTGAACACTGCAAACGCCTTTTTATGGCGAATATTTTGATATTTTTTAGCCACTCAATTTATTTTTCGTGCAACCCTGCGTGAGTTGAATGCAAAAGTTGCCCTAAAAATGGCCTCGTGCGAAAGCCCCATTTTTTATCCGGATCCCGATCATTGCCCACAGAAACACAGTGTCACTGTCAATTGGGCAGTACGGTTTGGTAGCAGTGACAAATAAATGTATACACAAACAAATATTCTGCCATTGGTTTTAACTTGCTCCAAATAAATTACCTTTACGTTAAATATTTGTTAAGGTGAATATTATTTCGTTTAAATATACTTTTCCCCATTTTGTAGGTCCTTTTTATGAATTCGTCTTCCTTGTGAAAGTACTATAAAATGAGTGCTGCCAACCCCAATAGGAATGATCCAGACCGTTTCCGTGACAAACGATCGTGATACTTAGCTGGATAACCCAAGAAAACACAACTAATGAAAACGTTGCCGGAAGCAAAACGGCTGAATTTGATTGTCGAAAAATCCATGAATCAAAAATATAAGATCACGTAAGAGCGACGTTGTATTTGTAACTGGTTTTGAGAAAAAAGTTTGCGAAAGTGGGTTCGTCAGCTGAGCGTTTGTTTACATCACAAGCACCACTATTTTACACTTTTATTTAAGTAAAGAAGAGTTAATTCAACAAGGCAACACATTTTAAAACATTTTAGTGCATAATTTTTACTAAATTAAAGTAGGTGACAGCAATTTTGGTTTTCGTTGTTTCTTTGCTTTATTGCGTTTTCCAGTGAAACAAGATGGCATAGAACCCGCTCAAAAAATCGACTTTTTCCACTATTTTGTTCTAACGGGATCTTGTGTCTTTGGTTCATGCAAAAAATCTTCTGGATTGCATTCGTTCAATCCCAATAAACACTAAAAAAATATATCTCCAACCTTGGAGAAATTCAAAGTTTTCATGTTGACATCCAACATCATTCTCCAACTCATCTCTCACCGACTCGCAGATACGTAAAAAGTGATAGAGAAACGAATTTTTAATTACCAAGTGAAAAACGAAAGCTATATAAAGGGGAAAATTACCACCAAAAAGTAAATAATCTTCAAAGTATCCTCAAATAATCTTGAAAGAAAATAAACGCGGAGTGAATCAAGTAGCAAAATTACTGTCGGACTATGTACTGTGAAGTGAATTATTGTAATACGATATTGATTAACTACATAAAACAAAAGGAGTAATAAAATGAAAAATTAATATTTCAATTCGTCTATGTATGTCGTTTCAATCAAAAAAGTATAAGGTATTTTACTATTTACATTTCAGTATTTCAATGCTATGTTTGAGACCAATTGGAGAATTACATTGGAGTTCAAGTTGAGAACTAGCATTTTCTCAACTTGATAAAAAGTCCTTTTTTCATACAAACAAAAATGCCCTTTTTGTTGAGAACGCCATGATCCTCTACTTGAGGTACTGTTAAGAAACAACTTTGGACATTTGAAAAATGCCTTAGTTCTCAACTTAACCTCAAGTTGAGCTGAAACCTAAATGTTTATTGGTGTACGTTGTTCTTTGCCACACTAGTGGTATTCACCAAAGTGAGCAATTGGCTTGTCAGTCTGGCAAATGAGCAGATCAGCTCAAGCAGCTACTGTTGTCAACAGTCTTTTTAACACTATCGATAGTTTTCCAGCTCTAATAAGAACGTCTTCTTCGTCAATTTCGGAGAATATTGCTAGTTTCGGTCCTTTTCCAGTTATATTCTTAGCTGCTCCAGCTGCAGACATGACAAAAGTTTTAGTTTCTGGTTGAAAAATGTGAACCTTGCTTATAAAATAGCTTAATTGATAATGATGAAGACTGCTTGTAGAAAATGTCGTCAAAAGTGGAGGAAAGGTAATGTTTAACGTGGAATGAAAAAAAAATTCCATTTCAATTTAAGCAAAAGAAACAAATTTCTTTGAATTGTGTGAGTGGTCATCAAGAAATGGTATTCTAAAGTAAAAAATTGCGAATGAATTTGTGAGGAATAAAAAAATTAAAATACGTAATATTTATCGTTCGAATTTTTAATTCGGTGTCTGATTTGAATTGAAGAAAAATTATCTATAAAAATAAATATTCACATTTATCGCGTTAGTTCTTTTCCGAGTTTCTTTAAAGTATTGTATTCAGTTCTCAAAAAAAAAATCATATAAAAACCGTTCAAGTAATAAAAAGAGATTTCTTATATCGGTTTGTAATACTAAAAAAAAAAATGTTCGTCTATATATTTGCTTTAAGAAAATTTACAGGTATGGTATGTACATATGTACATACTTTTCCAAGCGAATGAAAACTGTTTTTTGGAGTGTGAATTTTGCCGCTATCAAGAACAAAATATTGCATTGAAAATGTGAACACCGCTACTGTGCATTTAAAAGATACCCAAATGATACTACACATAAATTTCAATGGTCTGGTAACTATGAAGGTATTTGGATTTGGCAGCAGAAAGTGTATTGATTCACAGATAATCCTTTGGTTTACATTGCCTTCTTCTTATGCCAGATTGTAATCTTCCTTTGTGTTTTACGTTTCTCTATCTATTACATGACGTTTGTTGTTGATTTGTTTCAAAATGGCGCTGGAACTAAACATTTATTTACCTGATTAAAGAAAGTATGGCATCTTTAGTTTTTGTACCTTTTTACATTTCACATAAATACAACAATGCGAAAATTTAATAGTCATCGCCCTTTGTTGTAACTGTAATTTATTATAACTGCGCTTTTCCAAAGGAATTGACAGGATTCCAACATGACATCTGGCAACATTGTTTGTCTGCATGCGTTTTACATTTTTGACATGACAATTTGCATTTCTTTATTATCTGCTTGGATAGTATTAGTTTTTGTTCTCTGAAGGCTTTGGTGAAAATCTGGAATCTAGTAATATTTTATAACAGTTACCATTTACCGTTGTCGAAAAAAAGAGTTTTACATTAGATTTGAAGAAAAATGATTACAGAAAATACTACGAATATGCATGCAAGTTTGGGGTCAAAGAGTGCGATTAAAGCGCTGCAAATGGTCAAGAATCCACAAGATGACATGGGATGGAAGTCAAAGCTTAAGATTCCGCCAAAAGACAACCGGTTTAAGACGAGTGATGTTACCGATACTCGTGGGAATGAATTCGAAGAATTTTGCTTGAAAAGAGAACTTCTAATGGGTATTTTTGAGAAGGGCTGGGAGCGTCCATCGCCGATCCAGGAGGCCGCAATACCAATAGCTTTAAGCGGAAAAGATGTGTTGGCCAGAGCAAAGAACGGTACTGGCAAAACAGGAGCGTACTGCATTCCAGTTTTGGAGCAAATCGATCACACAAAAGATTATATACAAGCCCTAGTGATAGTGCCAACAAGGGAGCTCGCTTTGCAAACATCGCAAATATGCATTGAACTCGCAAAACATCTTGACATTCGAGTTATGGTAACAACGGGAGGTACAATTCTAAAAGATGACATACTTCGCATATACCAAAAAGTACAGTTAATTATCGCAACTCCTGGTCGTATTTTGGATCTGATGGATAAAAAAGTTGCGGATATGTCACACTGCAAAATTTTAGTTTTAGATGAAGCTGATAAATTATTATCTCTTGATTTCCAAGGCATGCTGGATCATGTTATAATGAAGTTGCCTAAAGATCCCCAAATTTTGTTGTTCTCTGCAACATTTCCGTTAAGCGTCAAAAATTTCATGGAGAAACACTTACGGGAACCATATGAAATCAATTTGATGGAGGAGCTTACATTAAAAGGCGTAACACAGTATTACGCATTCGTTCAAGAACGCCAAAAAGTTCATTGCTTAAATACCCTATTTTCTAAGCTACAAATAAATCAATCAATAATATTCTGTAATTCCACCCAACGGGTCGAATTGCTGGCGAAGAAAATAACGGAACTTGGATATTGTTGTTACTATATACATGCTAAAATGGCACAGGCTCATAGAAATCGCGTGTTTCACGACTTTCGACAAGGGCTGTGTAGAAATCTTGTATGCTCTGACCTCTTCACTCGTGGTATTGATGTGCAGGCTGTCAATGTTGTTATTAACTTCGATTTCCCAAGAATGGCAGAAACATATTTGCATCGAATTGGTCGTTCGGGACGCTTCGGTCATCTTGGTATTGCAATTAACTTAATAACCTACGAAGATAGATTCGATCTGCATAGAATTGAAAAAGAACTTGGAACCGAAATAAAACCTATCCCTAAAGTTATTGATCCAGCTTTGTATGTCGCCAATGCCGCAGCCACTTCTACGGAAACTAATAATGATCTTAACAATTCAGCAAATGAAGAGGGTAACATCAGCAAATGAACTAAGATGAGGAATTATTATTTTAAAACTCAACAAACTAAATACTGAAATACAAAACAATTATAGTTTGTCAAATAAATGAAATGAAATGTAATGAAGTTTGGCAAAAAACTGTTTTTTTAAATAAAGAACGTTAGTTCTGCGCAAAAAAACGAAACGAAAGAATTAGTACTTGATTTATTTTGGGTTATGGTACAAAATTGGATCTTTGTGGGGAATGGATTTAAAGTTTTATAAATAGGGTGTTATTTGGCACTATATTTATAGAAAAGATAAATATTCGTGTGAATTTTTTGAATCTTGTTCACTAATTATTTAGTTAAATTTAGTCGAATTTTGTCTTTTAAAAAGGTATGTACATAGTACATATCTTATTCTACTGATATGAGTATGTACCAAGAATGATAGAATGTGAGTATATACATATGTATGTACATATGTAGGTACAGGTCAAATTGTATTAGCGCTAAGTAGTTGCCGAAATGTAAGTAGTATTACTGGTTTTATATCTTATTATAACTAGAATAACCAGCAAGAAAATCAAAACAGAGGCAAACTACTCAAGAGCATAAATTATTTTGCTCATATTAAAAACTAATAATTTAATAAATAAACTATTTTTCAGATTTTCTCCACTAATGAGTGCCAGTTAACAGAGCCCGTTTATGGCCACAAATTCGATTTCAGTGCCTTGCGCTCCGACATCGCCAAAGTGGCAAATAGCAGCAAAGGTGATATATTTGAATACAATATTTGCGGCAATTTAAGTCGCCTCTGTGATGGTAAAAATGTGGCCGCATGCCTCAGGAAAGGAGACAAGGAATACATACTTGGTAGGAATCATGATTCCCATATGTACACATTTATGAATTCATTTTTCTAAACCCAGAAATTTTAATAAATTCTATTTCTGTACATGTTTATATGTTCATATTTACTTTAACTGCAGGTACACAACAGCTACTGCATTATAGACGTGGCAAAATGTATTTTGAATTCAGCGATGGTGCCAAGTGTCCTAGCGGAGATGGCGAGTTAAAGTTGCATGTATTCGTTGGCTGTGACTATACTTTGGATGCCGTACAATCCCAAGTGACGCANGTCAGCGATGGTGCCAAGTGTCCTAGCGGAGATGGCGAGTTAAAGTTGCATGTGTTCGTTGGCTGTGACTATACTTTGGATGCCGTACAATCCCAAGTGACGCAATATGTAAGTGTAAGCTATTTGGTTGAATTGATTTATGATTGAGACTTGCCTGGATCTCGTGCATTTCTTGCAGTCTAATGACGCATGCACATTCTATATAACACTGGAGACGCCATATGCTTGCTTGCCGGAACCGGAAGAAGTTAAGTCAAATGGATGCATTATACAGGATCCTGTTAATGGCCATACTTATGATCTGCTCTCATTAAGCGACTTTAATTATCGGTACAAATAAAAATAGGGTAATTAAAGGACTATTATAATATCATTTTCTTACGCAGAACGACTGATCGACATGGAAATGCTTTTGTGATAAACATATGCAAGCCAGTATTGTACGGAGAGAATGCTATGTGTCCGATTGGCAGTAGTGTCTGTTTTATTCAACTTAACGCAACTGACTATAATAAACGGTAGGTAAAACGAATATTATGTATGTATGCTTATAAATTAGCCATAAATGTGCAAACTTTCATTTTTCTGTCATATTTAAAAAAATTTAAACTGCACAAAAACGGCTTTATGATTTTTATTTTGGTTTTTAAAACATAAAAATTCGGCCCTATTCCGATTGTCGGAACGACAGTCGCTCGTCGAAATTTGAGATTTTCATTGCCGTTATGATCCAACCGAAAAATTTTTGTTCCTATTATCCTTTCGAAATGAAGAAGTATTGAAAACGTGTTAAAATCTGTCGTTAATGTTTTTATCTACGACTCAATTCAACGAACGACTGTCGATGCAAACCACTTACTACAACCAGAATAAGGGTGATTATATCTAAGAAATATAAGAAAGTAAAGTCTTAAAATATATTCCCGAAGATAAAGCTGTCCTTAAATTTTGTTTTGGTTCCTTTGATCGAAGATTGATTGTTTTCTTATTATGCATACACACATATTTGTGAAACAATCGTTTCTGCATGCATTCCTAGTTCAACGTGTTTTTTTTTTTTTAATTATGACGTTCCTCCAGCAAACAAGCCATATGAGATACCAAAACATTATTTGCTATTTTACAAATGCAAAAAATTAATAGATATACATATGTGTTAGTGGTCCACAAGGTGCTGCTCTAAAGATGATGACATTAGGAAACAAAATTTGCGGCAGAGCCATTGAGAGTTGATTTCTATAGCATTTGTTATTCATAAAAATAGAATATGAACTTTGAATTATTCAATTAGCTCTGGTTATAAGAATTTTCAGATTTAAAGAGACCGAAAAATGTTTTTTTTTTTTTTTTAATTTTTTTGAGTCCTATTGTAAAATCGTTTTACAAAGATATGAGGAATACTTTAATATTGCCTCATTTAGCCTAAAAGGCTAAAATTAGGGCAGATTTTTTTTAAGAAAAAAAAAAATTGGCAGATTTTTTTTAAGAACAAAAAAAATTGGCAAATTTATCGTGAAAATTTCTTCTAATTTCTTTTAATCAATTTTATATATGTATTTGTATACATATATAGTACAGTTCAAGTCGGTTAAAAATACCAAAAGGGCATTTTTGACACGTCCAACCCAAAATATCCCAAAAACTAAAGCCAATTTAATAGTTATAAGGTTATACTAGCAGACCCGGCGAACTTCGTGCCGCTCACAAATATTTTTTTTTATTGAATCATTTGGCCGTACTTTTTCACCAACAACTCACATTCACGTTTGGTTTTGTGTTCGTCAGAAAGCATATCCTCCATTGCCTTTTTAATTACCATGACGCAGTTCCTGCTGCAACAATTATCCGGCTCGATGGTGAATCGTTCTCGTCTGTATAGTACAGTTGGTGGCAATTTCAAAATGGGGAAGTATCTTCGATAACTCGACTCCAGCCCCACCTTTCAGCTCTTTTTTTTTGCAATAGTATTGCCCCTACCGTCACTAATATACAAACATTCCTCTCGAATATGACCAAATTGGATTATAAATACGATTCTTAGTAGTAACTCAATGCAGCACCACATGGCCTTTTAAGTTGGGACCTCAAATACATAAAAAAATTAATTAAAATCGCTTTGGAGAAGTTCACTTACAAATACACGTACTTAAGAATTATATATGTATGTATTTACAGATAGGTAAAGGTTTCACTATGTTTGGAAGACGCCATGCCCTCTTTTCCAATAACCCCCACTTTTCGCCATGACTCCCATACTTATTGATTCAAATATCTCCATACAAAGTTCCAGTACTCTACTACAAATATATCTAGAGATATACGGTAGGAATAATTCGATTTGTATGGGAGATGCAACACTCCCTTGATATATCGAAATTATTATCAGCCTATAACCATCCTTGGAAAGTCTGCAGTAGGTGTTCAAAATTAAAAAAAATCGCTAAAGCCGTTCGCAAGATCACCTCTTATAAAAAGAAGGGACTTCTCTTTATTTAATTAGTAAAGATAATAAGTATAGATAAATAGCCAATACACCTACGCTTTGCGGCGCCTTAAAAAAACCTTTCGAACTGTAAAACAACCATTCAATTCTATTCTATGTATGTATATCATTAATAAGTCCACTAACCGAAAAAAGGCATTCTACATGTTAATCTAGGCCGAAAGTTACCTACGTACCAAACTTCAAGCAAATCGAACCATAAATACGAATTTTTCGAATACCACGGTCCTGGTCCATTTACTAGACAAATCTAATCTAGACTATCTATGTACCAAATTTCAAGCAAATTGGACCATAAATAATATTTTTTCGAACAGATCTGGTCTACCTTCCGGAAAAAAGTAAATTTGTTTGGCCCCTGACATGGTAACTGCTGAAACCTATTTACATACAAAATTTCATGAAAATCGGAACCGCCGTTCAAGAGATACTTGATACAAAAAAGGCCCTTCTCTTTATATAATTGGTATAGATATAGATTTAAATATTAAAATAGATGGCAACCCTCTTCAAAATTTTTACTTCTGGTTAAGAGAGCCTTTTACTCCTTGAATGTCTTTGAAATATTTTATTCGATCTATATTTAAGTCCCTAAAATTTAAAGGGGGTGGCAACCCCTATTCAAAAGTTTTAATTTTTTACACCAAGCGGTGAAGCTGTCTTTCAAAATAGTGTTTCAGTCATTCAATTTATTGACCGGATACAGTGCTTTCAGCTCTTTAACACACTTTTTTTTAACTTCAAAATGAGATATCCTTAATTAAATTAGATAAAATTTTTAAGGAGATATCATTTGGTAACAGAAAAATACCTTTTAGAAATAAGTATATACAGTGAAAGCTCAAAAGGCGGTCACCGATGGTCAATTACTTTTTGTCCGCCAATGGAAAATGTCCGCTTATGGGAACTTCGGACAAAATAATATTAAAATTCAACTTCAAAAATTTAAATTGCGGGTTCCTAAATTTAAATAATATTTAACCTTCACTAGATAAAAACATAATGAATGGTTAACAAATTCAAATTTATGGCATTTGCGCCAGCTGCGACTCGAGCCGGGATTCTCAGTATTTCTGAGCGAATACTCTCTCTACATGCCAACGCCGCACATGAAAATCCGTTGACTAAATGCCTACATATCAGCAAATCGTTAATCATATCCATTTCCCGCTACTGCGTAACATTGTAACTAATTTTAGAACAAAACTCATACTTTATGCATTACCTTCGGACCAATTTTGGTACAATTCACCTGTTTTACATTACATTGCTTTAAATTTGTGGACTATCTTTGGTCTAGATATAAAACTACTATACCTACGCCTATATTTTTCGAGCAATTGGACCAATCTTTCCTTCAGGACAACATATGAAAGCACATTTACATGCATGGCTGTAGCTGAGTGTGCAAAGATGCTTGGTACAATTTGTTGTTACCAAGGTTCTCCGGCTTCAATCCCCATCAGACGGAGCATGAAATTTTAGATTTTTATTTTTCATTTTTAATTACGAAAATGTTTGGGTCTTAAACTTAAACCGAACTGTTTAAATTCTAAACCCAACATACGTGCCCTTTTTCTAACTTGGAAGGTTTGTATTTGAAACTAAATTTAGTTTGGTCATATATGTAGTCCAAAAAGTTTAAAATTAAAACCGAAATTTTTACACCGTGTATTTCTGTTTAAAAGCTAGTCCAGGTCTCTTTGATATGATATCAAATTTGTGTAATTTGGACAGGCGGTTTGTTTATTATCCGGAAAGGACTTTTATTTCAGAATAATATTCGCAACAACCCTGATATGTATTATGAAATGAAATGAAATGCAGAATAGACTTATAAATCTCCTATTATAACGATGCAGGTATTTTTCAAAGCTTAAAGCTTTGTCATTAAAATCCTTGTCATTTCGATATTTTGAAATCGGGAAAGCAATCAAATATTGTTTACTTTAAAAAGTCCTTTTATTTTAATGGATCTACAAAAAATGTTGCTAGGTTTTTCAACTATGGTAGCGTACAACCCAATCCAACAATCGAAAACGGCCAGTTGATTATGCGTCTTCCATCGACTACAGCCTGTAATGGAACGGATAACTATTCGTCAATCATACAGTTTATATGTGAGAAAGAAAAGAAGGTAAGCACACTCGTCGAAATGGATTAACAATTTCTTAATGATTATTTTTTTGCCTTTATTACAGAGCGCACAGCTATCAATGGTTGGCATTAATGGGTGTGTGTATAAATTCTCACTTACCACGCCATTGGCATGCAATAATTATCCGCCATGTACCACCATAACGCATGGCAGCGAAATGTAAGTGTTCCATGGTTTCTTTAAAATGTAATTCCTCTTAGCTATACATATCCCAGCAAAAAATCGGTAATCTCTCCTAGAACATGTTACCATTCTAGAACGCATTGCCTTATAATAGCCGTCATAGATTCGCCAACAGTTAGCGAGTGGCGAAACGAACGAACTCAATGAGGTACAACCAAACTCGCTATCGTCTATCAGTGCTAGCTTTTTCACTTCATTTAAGCATTGCCGGTAATGCATAGTATAATATTCCACAATATTTTATTTATTTCGTAGCTTTGATTCATTACGTGGAATTCAAAGTAGAACGCTTCATCGTAGTCAGCTGAAAAATAGAATGAGTACTCAAAAATTCTTTTCTACCGTAACTTTCTGCAGAAAAATGTATGTATATATAAAACTGATTTATAACAATTTTAATTAATTTCAATATTTTAAGAAAATCTGTATTTTCTGTTTTCAATTTAATATACATACATAAGTACATATTTATAGGCATTCTACATTAGTTTATCTGTCGAGCATTCTTTGCTACCTTCTCTGGGTTCGCTTCTTTGTAAGGCGTTGTCAATTCGTTTCTCTTCAATACGTAATGTAAATCGTTCCAAGGTAAAGCTGCCGGTATGGGCTTACGGCCAATGACATGCATGTTAAAGCAATGTCTTCTTCATTTTAATTTCTAAGGTAACCGTGTTTTTTGCCGGGATGTTTAGATATTTTATATTTGTACAATGTACATACATACATACATACATATTTTAATATTCGTCTCTTTTGTATCTCGCTAAAATGTAACGAATGGCATTTGTTTTGCATTTCCTTTAACCTTGCATATACATAAATCCACATGTACAACATACATACATATGTAAATACAAAAATACGTCCAGACTGGATATGCGTCCGTTGCAGGGTAAACCATACACTTTGTCAATGGATTCAAAAAATTATACGTTCGGCATCTGTTCGGGTGCGGGTCAGCCGTGTCTGGAAAATGATGGTAAGTCATATTTTTATTTCGTACTGTAAATATATTTCATGGATGTATAAGCATGTATGCATACGTAAAGAAACACTGTATTTGTGCCTGAAACAATTTTTTTGATTTGTTTTAGCAATATTCAGAGCAGCAAATACATATTGTCACTAGAGACAAATACAGGCGGGAGCTCAAAAGATGACCGCGAAAAAAGACTCAGCTTATTAATTTTTTATATATTTACTTTTTAGTGTAACTTTAAATATTCTTAATTTCTTAACCTTTAGAGAATCCGTCCCAGAAAAATAATCATTTCAAACGTAGTTGTTTTCTCTTTTCGTTAAATAAAGTTTGGTCAAAACATTTTTGCGAATATGAGACGTATTTTTTGAAACAAGAAAACAAAGTCTTTTAACAAAATGTTTTGTATACAATTTTTTTTTAATCTTCTAGAACAGACAGATATGTAGTCCAATTCATTAGCTTTTCAAAGATACCAAATTTTTGTAAATTTATAATATGCTACTTATAGGCTTAAATCTAGCGTTGTTATCGCATGTTTTATAAAAAAAAAAACGCAGAAAGAAGCATGTATGTATGTACATTAGACTGCATCACTAAAAAAATTTGCAGTTTTTCCGCCGGTATTACAAAATTTATTTTATTTGAAGACCCACCAAAATATTTTCGAAAAATATTAAGATTAAAGTGAGCTGGACCGATTTGTAAAATACCTCGAAAAATGGGATTTTTTTGAATAAAAATAGTTTCTTAAAGTTTTTTTTTTTTTTGGAGAAACTCCCTTCAGATGACAAAAGAGTTTAAGCTAAAAGAATCTGCATAAAAATATGTACACAAAATTTCAACGGAATCATAGTAATGAGGTTTTTGATGCAGTTTTTTTTTAATTTTTAAAGATTGGTTTAAGAAAAATTGAATAACTGGGCTGAAACTATACCGTTGTGAGGTATCAGTGGAAAGGTATTTTTATTTTTTATACTTCTTTCCAATAAAAACTCATTCCTGTCCCAATTTTTTCTTCAAATGCAATACAACTTAATTCAAGTTGGAATGATGCTCGGTCATCTCACCTTTCTCGTTCATACTTGAGAAAATTCCTTTCCAATGATATGTCATAAGTCTAAATCGGTAAAGTTTTGCCCCATTTATTAAATTTTTTCTTAAACTAATTTTTGAAAAAAGTTCAAAATCCGCATCAAAAATCTCACCATTATGATTCCATTGAAGGTTTTTTTCAAATATTTTTATGCGATTTTTTAAGTTTAAAGTGTTTTCTCGTCTGAGGTGATTTTTTTCAAAATATACTTAAAAAAACTATTTTCATTATTATTCATAAACAACTCAAACTTTTGGTGGTATTTTCAAATCGGTACAGCTCACGAATATCTCAATATTTTTCCGAAATATTTTGGTGCAAGTATAAAAAAAAATATATTAGATTTTATAATTCCAATGGAAAAACAGTACCGATTTTATTTTTGTATGTGGAGTGATGAGGTCTAATGTAAGTACATTCATCACCGCTATCTTGCATATATAGTTTTAAATGTGCATTTTTGTAAGTCACCATAATCGCCTTTTTGTCCACTTCTGGTCATCAATTTTATTTCAATAGTTACTTTTCAATTCACCGAAGGGCAAAATAAGCCCCAACAGTCTCACTCTAAACTTTGCAAGATTTCAGGTGACTGCAAAGATAGGAGGGGAAATAAATATGTAAAAATATGGACACATACATACATGCCTATAAATGCCTTTACAAAAATTGAAATTGCTGATTTTTATGGCTTTTCGGTTGAGTTGGCCATGGTGAGAAGCGACACAAATAATGACACCTCATGTTGGAGCAAACTGAGTCGCACTTGCAGGTTAACCGCCAGAGAAACATCCTCAACGCTCTTGAGTTATGATGTTCTTGCAGAAAGCGAGCGTTGTGAGAGCATGCAGCTGTGTAATTTACATACTGGAGTAGTACTCGGGAGGTATTTAAACAATATCGTTGATTGAAGAGATTGCAAGTAAGGGTATAGGGAAGAAGAAAGGAAAATCAACGCAAATAATTATTTTTTACGTAGATTCTTGCCCAGAAAAGCTTTGATTTATCAATTACCTTGTCTATTCAAGCATGGTGGAAAATTCATAGAATCGCTCTGAACCTGAGTTGAAACAGAAGTAAATGTAGTGGCTACTGTTCTTCGGGACTCAGAAGGCATCATACCGGTAAATTTTAATGATAAATGCGTGAACACTTTAAGATAATACTCTGCTAATAGGTGGCCGCCGTATTCGAGTGGTTATATAGATTGAACACTACCACTCACCTCAGAAATGGTTGTACGCGTGGGCTTGGGACTCGCCACATAAAACAACTATAACTGTGTGAAAGACTGAAGCCGTTCACGAACCCCCGAAAACACGAAACAGGGCCGTAGATCTTGCATAGAATAGTTGTCTCGAATGCCGCCAAAGCCTTCTCATCTTTGTTCGACATCGTCCAAGTTTCTGCGCCATATAAAAGGACGGGCATGATGAGAGATTTGTAGAGCGGGATTTTCGTTCGTCGAGAGAGGGCTCTGCTTTTCAATTGCCTACCGAGCCCAAAGTAGCACCTGTTGGCAAGGTGGACAAAGTCCTTCTCTACTTCAAGGTTATATCTGCCAACAGTGACGTGTGTCCCGAAACGCGTGGACTCTTTATATCTTGCCAGGAGGTACTTTGTCTTGCCCTCGTTCACAGCTAGATCAACCTATTTAGCTTCGTTTTTTTTTTTTTTAACTGGAAAGTGCTGCGGTTACGTCCCTTTGTTTCAGAGCTTGGCAGCCATACATACAGTGGTGAAAAAATTATAGCCGAACCACTTTTTGCCAAGTTTTAACGTATTATTTTTGTTGTTATTGAACTCTTATTGTTTTTTTTATAAAAATATACATAGTTAATTCTTTAGCAAAACCCGTGTAAATCCAAGTTTCCAAATTTGTGCAATATTAAAAAAAATCAACAAACTTTCGTACAAATTTCGGACTTTTTAAAAATTCTAAAAAATCAAGTGAAATTTTTAGCCATTTGAAACTTGTGCTTTATTCTACTAGAATTCAATGTGCTACAAAACTGCATACTCAGAATTTAATTAAAAACATCGAAATTACAACGATAATTTATTGAATTTTTTTAAATTGCATAAATTTTTAAGGCAATGTCACTCGATTGGTACATTTGTACATTTTGATATTGGGCTATTGGTAAAAAAAATGGGAAAGTTTTTTTTTGTAGTCAAAAGATTGGTACAATATAGCGATGTTCTATTGAAAAATTTGAACAAATTATTTTTGGTGATTGGGATAAAGATAAATTCTTTGGGTGTTCACACCAAATTTTAACAAATACCCAATCTACCCAGAATGAACTATAAAAAAACTAACCAAAATTAAATAACAGCAAAAATAATACTTTAAAACTTGTGAAAATTTGGCGCGGCTATAATTTGTTCGACTACTGTACATAAGTTTGCAATGATTACTCGGCCGTGCTATAATAGTAGCACTATGCTACTAAGCCCATTTTAAAATTTTCAGGCAATAGCCTCATGTGATTATCGATTATATTTTTTGTTGTTTCCTCGTATGTTGGCTAAACGGTGATTGTATAATAATGTCTGTATCGTTTATAGGGATCTCAAAGCCATGTAAGGGACATCGGTAGCTGTCACATTTTCTTCAATAGTGCTTTGGTTGAGGACTCTGAGCTGAAAGTCACGGTGAGATGGCTCAGTTATGCAAATGCCTTGTCAAATTTGGTTTGGAGACAAACCGGTTTCGGAGTTGTGCTATCTTCAGTGTCACTTTTCGTTCTGAATAGTTCGTGTTTCCTTCTGCTTTTATGTATTCGTGTTACTATCTGTTTTTACTGTCATTAGGTCATCGTTCCACAATACATCATACTCCTACCCTGTCGGAAACACAAACACACAAAAAGAAGCATGCAAATGCCCTCTCCCGTCGCTGTGAAACAGTTCCACCTTCATAAAACACCCAACCTCCTCTCTCAGAGACTCCTTATTTAAGGACAAGACGACCTGAAGCCGGAAGCCAAGCACTTGCTCGTGGTCTGACTCGTAAATTATTCCAGTCCACACCCTGGAGGGTGTGACAGAGCCTATATGTTTGCAACGGCAACCTTGTATAACGCCACCAATCTCGGATCCTCACAGGCGACCACTTTTACGTGGCCCTGATACCAGCTAGCGTCTTGCCAGCCGAAAAGGTCCCTGAGTTCTCCAGCAGATCATAAAAAATGTCGTTCACCAAGGTTGCCATTAACCATTCCCACTGGTCGTTCGGTGTGGACCTGTTTTTCCTCCACCGACATTTGTCACTGTGTTGGGGTCTGAAGTTTAAGGAGGGTATGGTAATCTTTGCATAGGAAACTGGGTATGCTCCAATCTTATACAGGTTTCTACAGAGCCGCCCTCTTAGTTCAAGCTGATAGGGAAGACCCTAAAGAGGCCACCATGTTATCATGAAAGCCTCAACGCCACGCCAAGCAGACTAACATCGACGAGGCATAGGTTGTAACTTTCATACCATTAATCGGTTGTTTACATAGGCACTTATCCGACTGGAAAGTTTAACACACGGTCGCATTTCCATTGTGGTTGAGCTTTGTTCTTTTTATAAGCTTTGTTTTGTATTCCAATGCCGGCGGCGGTTGCAGATTTTCTATACTGTGATGCATTGTAAGTGCTTTGATCTTTGTGCGTATGTACAAAAATACATACCGCGTATTTCAGTTGGACTATTGACTGTGGTGAGCGGTGGTGCCAACGAGCAAGTATTTACATAGCACTTTGGTGGACATTTTTTATTTTTCCGTTAGTTATTTTCCGTAGGGCTATTATTTGATAGTAATTGTTGTTTTTAAGGCTGAGTCAGACGATTGCCCAAAACTTTGGTCATGAGAAAATATTGGGCTTTGTCCCAATATTGATAACACCTTTTTAAATT